GGAGAGAACCAGAAGGGCGTAAGTGACATTTTGGGCGAAATGGAGATATATATATATCAAATGAAAGCTCTTGATGAGCTCTTTCTACTGCCAAAAGGACACAAGTGAATTCTTAATAATTTTGGAGTTATTCATTAGAAACCAAAAGACTTAACTCTGAACATACTAAGCCTGTTGGTTTTTGTTTTGGCCCTCCTGTAACGTTGGGGAAATGTCACTTACGCCCTTCTGGTTCTAACCCCTCCAAATGTAAAGTAGAAATCTTCTCTCCAAGCCATAATTTGACTGTCGGAGCCTCCTTTTTCTTCCAGAACAACAGTAACTTCTGTAATTAAACTGTATGCAAGCAGTTTGTGTTGTGCTCCTGATAATGGCATCATATGTTCAGAAAGTCCCAGAATGAGAAGTACCGGATCCGGCTGCATTTGCACCCTAAAAATTCTAATAACCCTGTATCCTGGAGCAAAAAATAGAACTATGGGACAAATCAGCATCTACTGAATTACATTTGTCACAAAGAGGTGACACATTTTGGAAAATTCTATGTAGTTTCTTAAGTCATGGCCTAATGGTTAGAGAGTTGGACTTGTAACCCAAAGGTTGCGGGTTCGAGTCTCGTACCAGCAGGGATTGTAGGTGGGGGGAGTGACATACTTGGCCACATGTCACTTCACTTTCACTTTTCACTTAATGTAGTATAAATAAATAATGTAGTCTCTGATTGATCTTAAACTGAATAAGGCAGTGTCTAGAATTAATAGAATATACGTTAATATCCTTTAAACTCTGCCACGTTTCCTCAAGAGATTTCAACTCCCTAGTTCTTTCTCCCATTCTTCAAATTTATAGAGGAAGAAATAATTGTAGGCTAGCAGATCATAAATTATGGATAATGCCTTTTTACTTCCTTTACACTTATCAGTAATGGAGGGTGCTGTATTATCCAATGAAGGTGTATGAGCACATATAAAAATTCCTAACCTGTAGAAATCTAAAAAAATGACTGGGGAAATGTACATTTCTTTTGCAGCTGACTAATGGATGTCAGAGCCCCATCAGTGAAAATGTCCCCTATAGTATGTACACCCATTTCTTCCCATTGCACAAAGGTCCCATCCAATCTTGAATGATGGTTTCTTTGTATCATCATTTTGTGCAGTATTTTACTTTCTACACATGAAACGCTCCCATTCACACTGACTCCCTCTGCTGTTCAAATCATCATCATCACTCCTCAGCAATTCCATTACAATAATTGGTACAATTAAAACAATTAAAAACATTTTCGAGTCTTGAATATTACGAATGTACTGCCTGATTTTTCGATAAGAATCTTTTTAATGCATCAACATGAAAACTGATCAGACTGATCACGCTTGACGTCGCCTTTGTGAAACACTTTTTAGGCTAATAATTGGGTTAAAATTATATTCTAATGGTCCCACAGCTGATAAATAATGAAGAATATTTACTTAAACATTCTGAATTTTCAGAGAAATTAATACCTCCAGATGAGTGTAGGCTATTGTAGTTGCAATACCAGCAGGATTTGTGAGGCTTTTGCAGGGCGTCTGTGAGTCAAAGCAATCAATAAAGTTAGTACTTTAAAATTCTACGCATAATTTATCCAACTAACCAGTTCCTCAAGAGATACAAAGCTCAAAGCTGAGAATATTGTGTTTTTTTGTGGAATGGATGTTACGACTATTTTGCATCTTTTTTTTCGAAGTATGTTAATGTTTGTTTTTTTTGGATAGAGGCTGAATGTTTGTTTACTATGTTGAGTGGATCTAAAATTGATATAAGGAAAAGAGATTATATGTTATTAGTATGATACAGAAATGAATAAGAGTCACATCTTTATGCTAAATATTCTAATATTATTAGGTAAGTTTTATATACACAAATGTAAATGGTCAGAATGGTCAGAAAATATTTGCCACTTCAAAGTTGACTTGGGGATTTATTTTGAAACTCTTCAAGGACTTACAGGACTTACAACAACCAGAACTACGTTCAAAGAACTAAACTCCTCCTTTTTATTGTGATTATCAATGTATACTCTTCTTGTTATTTTCTTTTTCTTTATTTTTTATTTCATAAAATGTGAATGTCCTGTTTGTAATATCTTGTTATGAGATGAATGTTAAATGTTCAGCATATTCAATAAAAAAATAAAAGAATAATAATAATAATAATAAATAAATAAATAAAAT